TGGCCGCCCGATTTTCAACTGCGCTGTCAACTAGCTACCTGCTAGTTACAGGCCTGTCAGCTTGACTAGCGTGTTGGTTAAGTTAACTTCTATATTACTGTGAGATACCGTGGAGAACTATTTACATAACTTTGCCATTCTTGACGTCTAGCAACCTAGCTTTCGCAAAGGCTTTTCGTCTTAAACAATATTGCTGGTAGCTCACAGGAGCCAGACTGAAGCCGTAGCCAGTGGATATGCCTTGGATATGGTGTTCATTGCCTCTGCCAAGGCCATGACTTCTGTCCCCATTCATGACCCACTAAAGTTGTGGGCTTGTGGAATATCTGGTCGCGCTCTCCAGGAGGTTTTAGCTTTGCTGGATGGACGGGAACAGTTTATTCGTGTGGGTAGCAGTCTTTCGCTTAGACAAGCTGTCCTTAGCGGCGCAGCGGAAGGCGCTGTCCTATGTCTGATGCTGTTCGCGATCTACGAGAATGACTTGCCGGCGGAGTCTGAAGTGCCGTCACCTATATGGGCCCTTGACCTAAAGCACTGGAGTAATATGGACAACGTTGGAGGTTCAGTGGCTCTTCAACGTGCTCTGAATAGACACTGGGAATGGTGTGGTTTGTGGTTGCTGCCCATAAACTGGGCAAAGCGTTCAATGCTGCCTACAGAAGCATCTGTTTCCTCCTCAAGTGGTGTTCGTTGGGAGGGACCTTCCTCACGTGCTTCCTCAGGTTGAGCCAGGTATCATGCAATATTGCATGCCACACTGGGGACAACTGGAAGAAGAATGCTAGCAAAAGATTCCGAATGTTATGGTTTATCCGTCATTCTTTCGGGACCCTAGCCGCTAATGTGTTTGTAAAGCTCTTCTCGGGGTTTGTGCGACCCCAAATGGAATAGTGCGTCCAGGCCGGTCCACCAGGCCTTATCCGGGACCAAATGGAACTAGTAAGGGCGTTGTATGTCGGTACCAGGTTGGTCGAGGGCTTAGGAGGACAAGCGTACCCCGGAAGCCTACTTGGTTTGGGGATGCATTTAATGCGCTATCGAAGGTTTAGAGGAGCCTTAATCCTAAACTACAGTATTTTGACCGGGAAGGTTGGCCCTAATTTGCCCTGGCTATTTAGTCATGCTATCTTGTCTGGTCTCCGCGGGCATATTATACACCTGGACGAACCGCATTCCGATAGAGTTAGAGAGGAGACAAGGTTATGGATTCGAGTTATCGAGCGCTGGGCCTTACTTCCAGAAAACGTTGCCAATGAAGCTAGGGTTAAGGGTTTTGAGCATCAACTAGCTGCTTTTAGGTGGCAACGTGTAAACTCTCCTTTTTCCAGTTTAATACTATATGCATACTTCGCTTCTATATTCCGTCACACACCATTGCCATTATCCGCTCTGTTTAACTGATTTTCCTTATTATCTGCCACCGCTTTTCCTTTCGCTCTCAGTTACTTACGTAATGGGCATAGCAGAGAGAGCTAATTCAGGGAAGGTGGGCATAAGATTGGTAGACCAGGGTGCTTTTGCGGGTGTTTTCTTTTTAGAGCCATCAAGAAACCGGTGCACACCCATCAACTCCTGGATCAACGCCACGCTTAAGAAGGAACATATACGGGATGCTTTCTACCGTACCAGTTCCACCTGAACTTGAACTTGAAGGTAGCGTTCGCATACCAAAGTACGCTTGGTTGATGAATTCCCCGCTACCCCATCGTCCCTGACAACAACACTAGTGGCTGCGGCTTTGCTCATGTTCAAGTTCAAGGTCAACTCGGACCGGAACAGTAGGAATGTCCCGTGAAGGCTCCACCTACTTAAATATCGTTGCTCCAACGGGGAAACCGGTGTCTTTAGGTGCAAAGGGGAGCCAACTCAACACACAGGATTCACATGGTCAACCAAAATATGCCCACGTACCCTGCACTAGCAGTCCCGCTGTGCCGGCCACATGAAGAATAAACGAAACAGTAGTAAGGGAAAGGAAACAGAGAAGACAAGCTTACCGAATGTCGTAGACAATATTAAGATGTTAGTTAAAATGTTAAAAAAGCGTAGGCCATAGTAGACAAGTAAAGTTTAAGACATGAAGGAGCAACTTCAAACTGCAGACCGAGAGCGTCAATTGGATGGTGGAACGCTTTCGCGGTAGGCAGTAGGTTCCAATAAGCTATGACCCTACGCGCTAGCCGCAAACTTGCCCAAACCCGGTCAGACCGGGGTTTGTGCAACTTTAATGGGTGGCCACGAAAGGTTGCCGCTCGAGTTGGGCGAAACAGTCCAGTCAACTCAGACCCAATCTGAGCCATCAGTCTACGATATGTGAGGATCAAGTCGCCCAAAGCCGTATGTAATACATGGAAAACCTATTTAACCTAGGCAGCCTCTCCGGGTACGTTAGCTTCTTTAATCTGTGCACCATTTTCGTCCACGGACGCAGGACACGTTCAACTGCCATCTTATCATGAACCAGGCATGGTGGACAAGCCGGAACGCAGTATTTCAAGTGCGGCCTTACACAGGCCGAAAATAGTCTAACGAATATTTCGGTGGTCATGATCCCGAATGACCCGCGGATCATCCACAACAGCTTGGAACATTTGCGAGCAGCTATCGTCTCGTGTTCGCTGTGCTTAAAGTCCTTCCGACCGCAAAACACAGATGTCTGGTTGAAGATGAACACGCGGTACCTCGTTGCCGCCAATCAATTAGCGGGTCGGCGTGCCTTTCGGACTATCGCGTAGAACTGATCATTTCGCTAAAGTAACGGGCGACTGCCACAAAATCGACCAGTCCCAAAATCTGACCAGCGCCCTCTGTAGGGTCAGTGGACCAATCGGATCGTCTATCGTGAACCACAGTTTCAAGTCATCCACGAACAGTAGGGATGGCAACCCAATTCATCAGGTAGGTTATTAACGTTCAAAGTGAAGAGAAGAGGGTCAAGGATTGAACCTTGCGGAACGCCCCTGAGAACACATTCGCAAAAGAACCGGCATGCACCTACCCGCATACACACTTCCCTGTCGATTAGGAAAGCTGAAATCCGTCGCAAGACCGGTCCAGAAATACCCAGGATTTCAGCATGTACAAAGGGCGCGAACGGTTTCAAAGCTTTGGAAACGTCAATGAGCAGCACGTCCACTGCCTTCTCACAATCACCGGCTTCGGCCCAGTGTTCATGAGCAGTTAACACTTACTAAAACAAGATTAGCCCTTACGAAAGCCGTGCTGAGAAGGATAAAGCAACTCAGATGCTTTCAATTGTCCTTCGAGAACGTCCCTCACGAGGTTTTCCAACAACCTGACCAGGACGCTCATCCAGCTGACCGGTCTGTAGTTATCAGGGAGGCGCTTATCACCTTTGTTAAACTGGGATATGCAACAGCCTCCTTCCAGTCTGCGGGTAGAGGGCAGCTGCATAGAGACTATACAAAATGTTGCGTAATCGGACGGCAAAGTACATCAGCCAAGTCGTAAAACAGTTTGGGAAAATAGCAACCCCACCGACAGCTTCCTTGAGTTTTAATTGCCTCAGAAGTTGGAGAACTTGAGCATACGTTACAGAAACATTCTCCAAGTGGGGGCCCTTAGAATTCATTGTCTGGAGGCAGATATAAATAAATAAACACACGGTATATTCCCAGTAAAACGTGACACACCTGTGAGGGCGCGGTCAAATATGCATAAAGCATAGCTTTTTGGAATAATAAATATTTCGTCTTAATAAAACGTGTAACAGAAAAGATGCAGTCCATATGAGTGAGCGTTTCATTAGGTAATAGGGAGACCAAGGAGCATGATGGCGCTGGGGCGCGTAAAAATCAGTCATAAGGGTTGTGTCAAGATACAACTTGAGCGTGATTTCGCCCTGAAGTAAACCATAAGCATAGGAGCCTAAACAAGGTAATGGTGCCATCACTGATCATTAAGAAATCGGAATGTTCTGTACTCGATCAAAGCATTCTTCATAGTAAAATCAGTTGCACAGGTTGTATGTAGAAGGCTGAGGACTGCGTCAGCGTGAAATGTTCAGCTATGACTTTATTCAGTGTCGAGTCAAATCCGCTACGTTGCAGTGTTGTTAAGCGGACATCTATGGCTTTTTATGGGGAGAAGGCTTGCCAGGCGAAAACCCAACACGCCCTGCGGCTGTGCCGCTCGAACACTAACCCCAGCATATTATCCTTCGAGCAAACAAGTTTTTCCGTGATTTGCTACAGCAGCAAGGCCGTCAGGGCCAAACAACACCGGGATGCACGAGTTCTTGTTACTTCGCCTTCCGCCATACGCAAAGAAGCGCTTCGAGTTTGATGAAGCAATACGAGAGGTGGTTTGTATACAATATCCGTGACAAAAGCAATGGATTTAGCGAAGCTCAAGTCCAAGAAGGACGTGGTTTGACCCATCACGAACCTAGCAGCCCGATCGACAAAATGGTGCAGGGAAGCATGCATGGTCAGCTCTAGAAGCTCGATAGCCGAACACCTTTTAACAGCGCCGCAGAACGAATTCTGCCAGTCAACGTCGGGAAGAGTAAAGTCTTCATCAATAAACACCTATTTGCCGAATGTCCGCGGATGAAATCAACAAGCTCCTTAGCAACGCTGTCGGGGCTTCCATAGACCTGCACTAAGTTGCGCGGAGGCAATACACATGTTAACTGCTAGTGCTTCAACCTCACCGTCTGGTGGTCGGAAACTATACGTCTTAAGGACAGTACGTTCGGAGTCAAATTGCAAAGCAACGCCACCTTCGCGCCGAGCGGAGGTGCGGTCACATCTCAGCAGTGCGTAGCATGACAAGCACACTTTCCTGTCCTTGTCGTCGGTGGACAACGGCATTTCAGTAAATGCGAGAACACTTGGAAGCAGTCGTCGTCAGGGGAGCCGCGTTCGCACAGCTCATTTCGTAGGCTACGCACATGGCTTAATATCAAATTTATGCTTAATATGCAGACAATTACGTCAATAGTTCGTAACTTGTGCTCCATTAAACCACTGTTAGCTGTACTCCGGCACTTAGTCCCGTCGTGTGCTCATCCCAACCGGTATGACTCGAGTCATCTCTTCAAAAGGTAGGTGCTCTTTTATTCTGAATCACACCTAATGTCCGAAATCCTATTGCTTATTTATATACGAAATGGGTCGTTCGTAAAACGAAACATTCTTGTCCCTGCCCTGCTTCCTTGAGCCAAATCGGCCCCAATGTAGATTTTTACACACATTAACCGACGTCTTAAACAAAAGGATTAGTTGCCCACACTTTAAGATTTCCGCAGTCTTTTAAGATTTTCACATATGGGGAGTGCATCGTTTTTTGGCGTCTCACTTTCCTCCGTCTTTTCTCCGTGTCAGTCTGTAGTACACGTCGAAGCGGAGTTCACACTCAAATAAGAACCAATAACCAGTAGAACCTTTATTCCATGGTGATGCTGGGAAGAAGGAACAGTTGCGAAGAAAATAACAACAACAGAAGAATGGGAACGCACGTCCTCACGCACGAGAAGAACGGGGAACAGTCGCGCGCCGGAGAAAGCGAGTAGTCAGATTACTGTCAAGGTCTCGTCAGGGGAAACCGAGGGAAGAAGGAGTGGGTCAAACAACACTAGCTGTCCGTGAAATCCTTGGCCTTCTGTTGCCCTAAATGGTCGCTTTGGAATTTGTGTGCCAGTTGCCCTAAAATAGAAAAGGCAATGTGTTAGTCGGCAACCAAACGCCTAACGATATGCTGCCTTATTCCCCGTCGTCGTCAGGCGCTATCCTCAGCGCCACAGATTGCCCTGCTGATTTTAGCCGGTTGAAATGTACGACGGTGGATGAGGCATGCGCGCCAGGTTTCATGATTCTACTTTATGTCCGATAATACGTCCTCCACCACATATGGCCTGTCCTACCCTCGGCGGAACTTGGCCGGAAAGCCTGCTGGTGTCGTCAAAGCCTTCAGCCGGACCGCATCACCAGGCTTGAACGGACTCCCAAAAGCCTTTCGGTCAAAGTATGCCTTATGATAGCGCTGCACTGTTTTTAAATGAGACTGTGTCAGCTAAGGTGTGCAGACTAGGCTAAACTGCATCCGAAGTGTATGACCGGTCGCAATTAAAGGTTCATGATAAGAGGTCAGCAACAGCGTATCTGAAGGTAGTCGTAGTTCGCGCCCCGTCATCATGAGGTGTGGCGTCTGATCTGTGGCGGAATGGAGGCGCGATACGCCAACATACATTTGGCTAAATTCGTATCCCATTATCGACGCGTCTCCTCGTTCAAAAATGACTAGCAACCTCTTCAATCTGCAGTTGGTGCGCTCAACTAATCCGTTCCCTTCCGGGTGATATGCCGTCGTGCGGGTTATCCAAATTCCGAATATGTGACACATTTCCCTCATCAGTACACTCTCAAAATATGCTTCTCGATCCGAATGTAACTGATAATGTACTCCCCGCCTTGCCACCCCGTCGCTAAAAAACCTTCGCTATGCTCCACGCATCCACATTACGCATCGGTACGACCGCGCTATTTTGTGAAGTAATCCACCCTAACCAACCTATGGCGATGATCTCGTGCTGTTTCTGGCAACGGGCCGACGATGTCAATGCCTACTATCTCACTAGGAAACCCATCTGTCATCGGCTGAAGCGGACCACGATGGATATTTGCAAGGTTTTTGATTCTCGCATAGTCAGCGCATGCTTGGCAGTAAATGGCGATATCACGTCGCAAATGACGCCACCAAAAACGTCGGACTGCAGCCTCCATTTTGTTTTGTTTTACGTGGCCTAATCCCTCGTGTTTGCGTCGCATAACTTCCTGAGTCGCGGCTGTTGGGACGATTTTTCTGCGTAAATTACTTGGTCCGTTTTGAAAATACATGATGCCATCTAGTACTCGTAAATGCGTCCATAGCGACAAGAGGCATTTCGTTTCCCCGCTGGCGCCAGCCAATTCTTGTTGTGTTGGTCATTCCCCGTTCTGAACAATGCCATTGTACAGGATGTTAATTCGGGTCGGTCGACTGCATACGGATCTATTCCTCGGTCTCTGATGCATCAGAAATGACGACGGATACACACGCAGCTGTGCACGACGGACACGGCCCATGATTTCTGTTAGGTCTTCGTAACAAGGCGTCAGTGTTCCCGGCCGATGATGGCACTCAAGGTCGTATACCTGCAGCTGTTCTGATCTTCGGGGTCTCGGAAATTTTGCAGCCAAACCAACGATTGATGATCGATGCGCACGACAAATTTACGGCCAAAAGGTACTGGCGAAATTGCTTGATAAAATATATAAATGCAAGCATTACCTTACGTGTTACACAATAATTGCTTTCCCGTTGTGAAAGACTTCGACTAGCATACGCCATCACTGGTTTCTCTCCATCTGGTGTTCGTTGCGGAAGTACAGCTCCGATGCCTTTGCCGCTGGCATCTGTATCCAATATAAAGGGTCTCGCAGATGGACGTGTATCTGGAAACGCCAGTAACGGTTTCACACAACGAATTTTGAAGACCTTCAAATGCACTTCGCTGCGCTTTCCCCCAAGTGAAGGCTTGATTTGCTTTCAGAATTTCGTTCAACGGGACGGCAGTAGTAGCAAAATGTGTACACAGCGCCGATAGTAAGAAGAGAGCGCGAGAAAGCTGCGTACTTCATCGGTGTTATTTGGGACGGGCCACGAACGAACCTGCTCTACTTTTTCTGGGTCGCAGCGTACTCCATTGCCAGAAACGATGTGGCCTAGATAAGATACTTCTTTTTTTAGAAATTGGCATTTAGAGGGTTTGAGTTTTAATCCCAATTGTATCAGCCGATTCAACACTACAACCAGACTCTGATTGGGCTCAGCTACCGTCCTTCCGTGGACAATGATGTCATCTAGGTAAACTAGACAACCTCCGGGTATGATTCCTGACTGCTCTGTGCATCATTCGCTGGAACGTAGCTTGGGTGTTCGTGAATCCGAAGATCATCGTCTGGAACTCATACAGACCAGATGGAACAACATGCTGATTTACGTCAATCTTCCGGATCTAGCTCCATTTGCCAATAACCAGAAGCTAAACCTAACTTAGTGAACCAATGCGAATCTGCGAGAACGTCCATGGTGTCATCTATTCAGGGCAAATGGATCTAATCTTTTCGTGTGGTGGCGTTTAATTTCCGGTAGTCGGCCCACAGGCGTAGGTCGTCACTCTTTCTTCACCAAAACTATGAGACAGGCCCACGGGGAATTGGACGGTCTATTAATGTCCCGTCTAAGCATATCTTCGATCATACATTTCAGTTCTTACTGAAAGTGCGCTGGTACGTGCCTGGCCACTTGACGAATCGGGTGTGCATTACCCGTATCAATGCGGTGTTGCATGAAACTGCACCGACCGAGATCGCAACAGCATGCTGATAATTGTTCAAAATTTCCTTTAATTTATCGATGGCTGAGTATGGGATGTCCGCAGGAACGTTACGAATAAGTTTCTGCACAGCGGCGTCTTCTACCACGCATGATGACACGCAAACAATAGTCGAATTGAATGACATTATCCGCTTACCGATTTCGAGTGTTTTATTGACGAGATCGATTCTCGCATCGTGATCATAAAGAAAGTCAACTCCAAGCATCACATCCCACCGTAGTCTATCGACTATGAGCAAGCGGTTACTGGTAGAAATGCCGCCTAGCGATACAATAGCAGTAGTCCAGTCTACTGGATTGATGGAAGAACCATTGGCCACCATCGGATTGACAGATCTGTCGGTATGTATAGAGACTCCTCACGGTACGACACGTATATGAACCAGAGAACATGTAGCCCCAGTGTCAATTAGCGTGCCAACACGCTTAAACCACACAAAACCTGACACAACAGGAGTTGAGATGGCATTGGCGAAGGTAACAGCAGGAACCTTAAACGAACATCGAGACTCACCCGGTCGGTTATGTCTGCAACTAGGCAAATCTTCCAAATCTGCGGCAGTAGGGGTAATCCATTCTGGGCCCTATAGACGGTTCCTTGGTAAAGTGAGGAACGTTATTCCGCTGGATTGACCGATAGCCAGCAAAATTGCCTTGGCCACTCTGTTGTTGATCACGAGGCCGAACAACCGGTACCAATTCAGGGTAATCCAATACCCACTCTGGTTCCTCCCGAGCGATCACAGCAAGGATTTTCTCTCGGCGAGTGGCAGAGTCCTCAGTTTCCTGCAAAGTGCAGGTGGCTTCTCTAGGAAATCCCTCTTGATATCAATGTTAGTTGTGCCTTGAAGATCCTTTAGAAAGATATCACGGCTGGCCTTGTCGACATGTGGGTAGACCAGGGTGGCAAGTTTCCGCAGCGCAACAGTAAATCTGGTGAACTGTTCCCCGTGTCGTTGAACACGAGCGTGGTCCTGCCGACTGTATTCCCACTCATGTAGGGACGGTTGCAAAGCTTCCTTCAATTGGGTAAACGTTGTTCCTTCCACCACATCTCAAATAATATCCTTTGAAACTGCAATATGATAAGCATCGTTGCTTAGGAGGCTTGCGAGGGCAGCGGCCCTTTCATTTTCGGCAAACCTGTCAACGTATCACCAGACTTGTCGTTCCCATTGCTCATACTCATCCGCAATGCAAAACTTCTCGGGAGAGGATGGTTGGGGTGGCGCTTGTACCCGAACCTGACCACGATAAATAAGCGTTCATTAATCCCGAGAGGGCTGAAACCATTCGTCCAAATACAGTGAACTCGCTGATTGTGGATTCGGGATCATTCAAAATTTTGCTCTCGACATCGGTTTTCGGCATAATTTCATTTTACGAGGGAAGCGGTAGTCCTTGTTGCCGATCCTGACAGCGTCGCCAAATATGTAGTAGACATGAAAGCGGAAGTGTGAATTCACACGCAACTAAGAACCAATAACCAGTAGAACTTTTATTCCACGGTGATGCTGGGAAGAAGGAACAGTTACGAAGGAAGCACAACAACAGAAGCAAAGGGAACGCACGTCCTCACACACGAGAGGAACGGGGAACAGTCGCGCGCCGGAGAAAGCGAGTAGTCAGGTTACTGTCAAGGTCTCGTCAGGGGAAACCGAGGGA